GCCAGTGTTCTTAACCCCTGAGCCATCTCTCCAGCCCTAAACCACCTCCAGTTCTTATGATATTTCCAACCATAATGAGGGAATTATTTATTCAAATGTTAGTTTAGAGGACAAGAACATTCTTAGCAGAAGCCAACTACAGACATTTCCTCTGAAGATTCTGAGACCACTTCAATACTTTGAAACATTTTACCTTCTGACACTGTACAAAGAACACAAAGTGTCAGGGTGTTGTGGCTAACTTAGAGATAATAGAGTACATGACCATGACTGTAAGTCCTTCATATCTTATTGCATTTAGAATTGATTCCAAAATGGAATAACCATTTAAATGTGCTGAAGCTCAAAACAGGCATTTTTATTTCTGTGAAACTAGGAATAATTTATCAATCGTATTAAATAACTGATAGCTAGGTCTATGGAATGATGGTTTGACGGAACTTGCAAAACTATTACCAGATTTTTTTCACATATAACACACACACACACACACACACACACACACACACACACACACACACACATTCTTTTTTTTGAGACAGGGTTTCTCTGTGTAACAGCCCTAGCTGTCATGGAACTCACTCTGTAGACCAGGCTGGCCTCGAACTCAGAGATTTGCCTGCCTCTGCTTCCTGAGTGCTGGGATTAAAGGTGTGTGCTACCACTGCCCTGCTTTTTTTCCTAATTTTTAAGGTGAGAAAATCACCCACTCAAGGAACAGAATTACGTTGCCATGTGGCATATCTTCCCACTCTGTTTCTGTTGCCTCTTTGAGATATTAAGATATTCAGTGAGGTAGTGTGGCTGAGTGGTCTAAGCTGGTAGATTAAGGCTCCAGTGTCTTCAGGGTGTTGGGTTGAATTCTGATGGTGTCACTTGTTTGGATAGTGAGTCATTTATTAGGGGAGGTAACATAGTAAAGTATCTGCTGTGCAGGGATGAGGAGCTGAGTTTGACCCCAGCACCTGGTACGAAGAGGCTGGGCTTGGGGGCATACACCCGTAATCCTACCATTGGATCAGCAGAGACAGAAGGATTCTCAGAGCTTGCTGGCCAGCTACCTTAGCTTAATATATGAGCCCCAGATCACAGTAAGAGACCCTGCCTCAAGAAAACGAGGTGGACAGATTCTGAGGAAGGACACGGAAGGGCAATGTTCAGCTCTGTGTGCATGGCTGTGCACATGTGCACCGCCCACACAGTCATGCATGTACGTATGTACGGATGCACGCGCACACGCAGATGTTCATCAGCTTCTTCATTCTATTATGTACTGATTCATGCCCTGGGACACAGACCACAGTTTTCTCGTGGTGACTGCATGTCACTTACTTGAGCTCTCTGCTGAGAACTATATTAATTCTGTCCTTTAAAGGTCGATTCTTCTCAGGAATGGAGAACCAGGTTTTCCGGCCCATAATCACCAGATTCTGTTTACCTACAAAATCAAGCAGAAAGGATATCTTTGAAAATACACATGTATTTTCAGTGTCATGTATAGGCAGGATATGGTTGTCATAGTGACATCTAGTGGCTATCCTTGAGAAAAATTAAGAGGGGGGGGGGCTGGAGAGATGGCTCAGCTGTTAAAGGCTAGGCTCACAAGCAAAAATAGAAAAATTAAGGCAAACAGCTTCACCTAACTTTCAGATTTAGTAGTCATTAACGAAATATAGTACTAGTTTCCTTTGGTTTTACCCAATTTATATCTTTTACTTAGGTTTTAGTCAATTGCAACAATGCATAATTTTGGTTCAAAGTACTCAGGCTGATGGGATTTTGTCATCTGCTAAGTAACCCCGTATGCTTTATTAAATTCTAAAATGGAGAAAATAGTTCCTACTCCTGGAATTCTTCAGAGGCATTAAAGACTTAGAACTTGAGTTCACCATCTAAAACTAGTGTTCTCTGGGTCATCTATATGAGCTTCCATGATTCAAAGGTCAGGGATTATTGCGGAAGAGGGGGCAGAAAGAATGTAAGAGTTGGTGGAAGAGGGAGAGAGATGTGAAAGACTGACTTCTGGACACGGCATGGCTGATGTCTGTATGCACCAACTCACAGCAGCTTTCCTTACCTGCACAAGATTAAGCCAGTCAAAAATCCCAGCACAGAGGAGGGCCTTCTGAGGCCCCACCCCCTACTGGACTGCTATTGTGTAGTTGAGGGCTGCTGAGAGAGGAGGAGTCATTCTTAGCTTGGGCTGGTTGTAGATTGCTCATGCCCCAGTGGATGGTCACACACAAGGTTATTAATGACAACTAGAATATGAATTAGGGAGGGAGAAGGGGGCACAAGGAGTGGGAAGGTAAATGGATATACTCTGTATAAAACCTTCAAAGAATAAAAAACACATTGAGCCGGGCGGTGGTGGTGCATGCCTTTAATCCCACCACTTGGGAGAGAGGCAGAGGCAGAGGCAGGCAAATCTTTGTGAGTTCGAGACCAGCCTGGTCTCCAAAGCAAGTTCCAGGAAAGGCGCAAAGCTACACAGAGAAACCCTGTC